CGCTTTATAAATAGTGTATAATAATAATAATAATACACTATTAAGGGAATTACACAAGCTGGAACAGTCTCATAAAAAGAGACTAGCAGTCGACATACAGCAGCAAATAATAAAAAAGAGAGAGGAATTGGGCAATTTAATGGAGGAAGACGTGAAACCAACTTTTAATATGATGGCAAGAGAGATATCAGTGGGGGAATAAACCAGGTAAATACTTAATGAGACTACAAAGAAAGAAAAAATCTAGGAATTACATACAGAAAATTAAGGACGACAATGAAGATCTGGCGTATTTGACCACCGATATCGCTAAGGTATTCAAAAAAATATTATAGTAAATTATATGACATAGATCGGAAACAGTTAAAAGGGGGGAATACCGGGCAATTTTACACCTTCCTGCCCAGGCCAGTTTTCAGGTTTCAGCGCTCTCACACTTTGAATGACAATTGCGCGGTCATACAACACTGTACCCAAACTAAAATTTTATCATTTTTTCTTCACACAACTAGAGCTTTCTTTTGGTGGTATTTAATCACTGCCGGGGTTTTTATTTTTTGCTAAATTATCAAAAAAAAGACCGAAAATTTTGAAAAAAAAAAAACAAAACACGTTTTTCTTTGTTTCTGTTATAAAAGTTTGCAAATAAATAATTGTTCTTCATAAATTTAGGCCAAGATGTATTCTACTACATGCCTTTGGTGAAAATAACCCAAATTAGGATGTATTTTTTAGTTTGTAGGAACGTTATAGAGTTCACAAACTATGGGATATATCTGAATATTGATCAATCCTGAAGTACTGACGGCCAATCTAATTTCTTGAGGTCCAAGAATGTCAGAACAGTACAGATATCCCCTAAATGACCCCTTTTTGCAGAGTAGACAGTCCGATGTACTCCATAAGAGGCATGGCGAGTTTTTTGAAGTTGTATTTTGTTTTGTCATAATTTTTTGGAAAATGAAAAAATGCAAAAAAATTTTCACTATTTTTTTTTTTTTTTACATACTGTCACCAGTGCAGTACAGCGTCATCACATAACTGGCATGGGGGTGATCAGGGACACTGACTGGTGACAGTATGAAAAAAAAATAAAATAAAATTACTTTGCTATAAGCAAGCATTTACCTAAATGACATCGATTCATTCAGGTTTTTTTTTTTTTGTGCTTAGCTGTGATTTGGCCACAGCTAATCACATGACATGTGCATGTGATTAGCTGTGACCATTCACAGCTAGACACTAGTATACAATGGATGGCATGAATGAAGCCATCCATTGTATACAACTGTCATGTGACTAGCTGTGATTGGTCACAGCAGGTCACATGGTACCGGTAACCAGATCTGTCATCGGTCGTGTCCGAGGTACGCGGCCGGTGACAGATTACACTGCTGTGCGGCTCTGCAGGAGCGCAATCTGCGCATGTGCGGTAGGACGCCATATGGCGTCCACCCGGAACGCTGATGACATTTGCCAGCCGCCATTCGGCCATAGGGCGGGCGGCAAACGGTTAAAGGAGGCAAATTTACCAATTTTAGGAGAAGAATGATTAAAACATCTAGAAAACCCGATAACGCACGAAGAAATCCAAAGGATTCCAAAGCAGAGGAAACCCCCTGTACTGGTCTTGTCAGTTGATGCAGAGAAGGCTTTTGATACGGTAGATTGGGGCTTTATGCTAGATACGTTGAAGATCCTGGGAATTGGGCCCAAGATGAGAGAGTGGATAGGAAAGCTTTATAACCAACCTTCAGCTGCAGTAAGGTCAATGGTTTGCTATCAGAGTTTTTTTAGGATGTATAACGGGACAAGACAAGGGTGTCCACTCTCACCTCTGTTATTTGTTCTATCCTTAGAACCCCTCTGAGCAACAGTAAGCAACAGTATAGATATAAAAGGGGTCCAGATAGGGGAGACAGAACACAAAGTGGCAGCGTATGCAGATGATATGCTGTTCTATGTGGCTAACCCTAGGTTGACATTAACTTAGTGATAAAATTTAAATACTATGGAGAGATGTCAAACCTAAAAATTAACCTGTAAAATCAAAGATATTAAATAATAACATCCTGATAATGGAAAAAGAATTTTGCAAAAAGAATTTCCCTTCTCATGGAGGGAAAGAGAATTAACATATTTGAGGACTAAACTGACCTCGTCCTTAAAGAACGTATACAATATATATTACATCCCACTAATAAATGAGATAAAGGAGGAAACTGAGAAGATTACCGGTAGGACCATCTTCTTGGATAGGACAAATAAACTTGATAAAAAATGATAATTGTTCCAAAAATTCTATATAAATTCCACATTGCCTATACAACTTCTGGGAGCTTATTTTAAAATAATTTTAAAAAATGATATTGAGATATATTTGGGGAAATAAAAAAACAAGAATAAGCTATGAAGTGTTATGTAGGGACAAGGATAAGGGGGGTTGAAGTGTGCCTGATTTTAGGAGATACTATTATGCAGTGTTACTTTCACGTATTTTGGTCGGACATATAATGCACTAAGAAAAAGTTGGGTGAATATAGAAAACACATTAAGTGGGATACAATTGGATAAGACAGTATGGATTTCACATCAAAATCATATATTAGGAGAATGTACAAGCACTTCTACATGAATTGCAATTAGAGTATGGGATAGGATTCATAAACAAATGGGGTGGGGGTTTATTTCTATGTTTATGCCATTGTTAGAATTCTTCCCTCCAGGGAGGGAAGGTATCTCAGGTAAATGGCTAAGAAAAGGGAACGCACAGTAAAGGATATAATGGATGGGGGGAAAATTTGCACCTTTCAATAGTTTAAAAAAAAAAAAAAAAAAAAGGGGTTGTTTTCCTTGTTCAATGAATGGAGATATCTCCAGTTAAAACATTTGGCTAGCTCGGTCCCTAACCCTTAAGACCAATGATGGATTTAAATTTACTAGAACAACTTTATAATACAAATAAAACATGGAAACGTGGTACTTCCCGGATTTATAAAATTCTTACTGAAATGATGGGGATTGCCCCGCCTTTGTACATGGAGAAATAGGAAAGGGAACTGGGAATAACATTTTACGAGCAACAGAAAAAGAAAATATTTATATTAGTACATGGAGGGTGGTGGAAATGGCTAGGTGGTACGTTACGCCAAGTGTGGCACATAAACAACAAATAGATAAATCACCTTTATGTTGGAGAGGATGTGGGACAAAAGGCACAATGGCACATATATGGTGGCAGTGCCCTAAAATTCAGGAGTATTGGGAAGAAATTATTTAATTCAGGAGAGAACAGGGGTTGAGGTCCTGAAAGATCCAGCCACATGTTTATTCCATAAAACTGAGACTTCAGTATAAAAATATAAGAACTCATTAGTATTTCATCTGATAAATGTGCCAAAGGGGTTGATACCTAAATTTTGGTAACAGCAGGAAATACCAAAAAGAAAAAGACTGGATAAGTAGGGTTGACTATGTACACAAGATGGAGGAACTCTACCATCAGGAATAAGATAGAATGGAGATATTCAGAGAAAAGTGGGAGAAATGGGATACGTTCAAAGAGCAATTTAAAGAAAAATAGAGAGGAGATAAGAAAGGAAGAAAGAGAAGAGAGCCTGGAGAAGGAAGAGAAAATAGGAAGAGCAAAGAGATAAGAGGAAAATAAAATTAGGGAGTAGAATGGGGAAATGGGGGGGGTGGGGTGGGGTTTTTCTTTAGAATAAAGAGGTATAAGGGAATTGTGTAATGTTGAATATTTTGGAATTTTAATGGTGTAATGTTATATACTGAAAATCTTTAAAATATTTATTTAAAAAAAAAAAAAAGTAAGGGATCAGAACTACACAGGTAGAGCTTGCGAATAATCTCAAGGCAGTTAGGACCACAGTCACCGAACAAACCATTGGTAACACAATACGCCACCATGAATTGAAATCCTGAAAGAAAGTACATGTAGAGGCCCATCTGAAGCTTGCCAATGAAGATGTAAATGATTCAGATATGGATTGGGAGAAAGTGCTGTGGTTAGATGACACCAAAATTGAGCTCTTTTGCATTAACTTGACTCGCTGTGTTTGGTGGAGGAAAAATGCTTACTATGACTCTAAGAACACCATCCCTACAGTCAAGCATGGAATTGGAAACATTATACTTTGGGCTGTTTCTCTGCTAAAAGTACAGGCTGACTTTGCCACATTGAGGGGCCAATGGACGGGGTCATGTATTGTAAAATCTTGGATGAGAACCTTCTTCCTTCAGCCAGAACACTGAAGATGGGTCGTGGATGGGTCTTCCAGCATGACAATGACCCTAAGCATACAGCCAAGGCAACAAAGAAGTGGCTCAAGAAGAAGTATATTAAGGTTATGGAATGGCCTAGCCAATATCCAGACCTTAATCCTATAGAAAATTTATGGAGGAAGCTGAAACGTCAAGCGACAGCCGAGAAACCTTAAGGATGTAGAGAAGATCTGTAAAGAAGAATGGACCAAAATACCTCCTGAGATGTGCTTGCCAACAAGGGTTTCTCCACCAAGTACTAAGTCATGTTTTGCTTGGGGACCAAATATTTATTTTACTCACTGAACTGCAAATCAATTTATAACATTTGTATCATGCGCTTTTTCTGGATTTTTGGTTAATATTCTGTCTCTATCACTTAAAATACACCTATGATAAAAATTATGGACCCTTCATTTCTTTGCAAGTGGGCAAACTTACAAAATATGCAAGGGATCAAAAAATTATTTTCCCCATTGTATACGACTTTTACAAGGGGAATCCCCTTGAAAAAGAGCATGAAACACTGCTGAGCTTGACACTGGCTTGAGAATTGGTTTGTAATAATATTGTATATTACGCCGTGGGTTGTCATTGGGATGAATGTAGGGTTTATTTTATGTTGGAGAATTTAAATTTTTGCATATGTACTTCATTAGCACTGTATTTATTTTATAAAATAGATTAGTAATTGTGTAAGAGAGAATGGTAATAATTACCTTCTGAATGTCCGTAATATCTGTTAGTTTTATGATTTTGTTCTTCTTTGATGAGCCAGATCTGGAACTTTCAAAGCATAAATAGCTAAAAATAAAAAATATACATTTTTTTAAAACACCCATGACAACTAATTTAGTAGTTGTATTCCAGCTTTCTTACACCTCTCTATGCTAACATTTACTTAGACGGCTCTCTACTTTCAAGTCACTTGGTCAAAAAGCTTACTCATGGCAGCAAATCTAAAAAGCCTAAATTAGTGCAATTATAACTTCTACTAATGTTCTCAGCAGATCTGCCTAGCCAAACTGCCACCAACAAAAAATATGTAGCTTTTTATGTCAAAGGTGAGAAACAGTATAGTAATTTCAGCATAAACGTGAGCTGTGTGTTTTTAGAAGCAATCCAATGAATCAGCTATGTACAATACGTGTGTACTTATATACAGTTCAAAAAGTTTCAAGGTCAAGTATCACGGCTATCACTTTACTATCTTTTCCTACTAAATCTGAGAGTGGAGATGAAGAAGCACTTACTTCTCAGTGACAAAAAGGACGCCATTTCTAATGTAGTCAGTAGGCATTTTCTTGTCTCTGTTAATCAAGCAACAACGCCAGCCATTTTCACAAGCTGCAAGTAAAAGTTTAAATCACAGAAAAAGTTACAGCAGTTTATTGATTAAATATAGAAATCAACTTGTCTTTGCTAAACACTATGGGGTTGATTTACTAAAGTATCATTTCGGCAAATGGGCGCACTCCCATGTACGACTGTCTACTTTTAGACAGAGAAAAGATTTACTAAAGTACGCATCAACAAATAGACACAAATGCAAATTTACTAATGGGCACAAACGACCATCTAAACGAGTTCACGTCCTAGAACCAGGTGCACAGAAGAAAAAAATCTTTTCAACGACATTATCTCAAGCAATTTATGCTTCCTATACATATGTTGAACATTTTTAAGAATAACTGCTTTAAAATAATTCTAAATGTGTCTGTATAAAGTGATATATTTAAAAAAAAATCCAAACAGGCATTGACTTCCCCTAGTTCAAACATCTCAGTAGTGACATGACTGAGCATGCCCAGACTAGGAAACCTAAAAAAGTGCCTTAAATCTGTTGTTTTTTGGGATGTGCTATAGTAAATGCCTTTGTTCGCAACCCTGGAAATGCTGTGCTATGTTGCAGTTTGTTGGTATGCTGCTTTTTTTTTTTTTTAAACCATTTTGTTTTTCAAGAATGGGTGGGGTGGTGAGATTTGTTGTAACTTAAAATGTGTTGTCTGGTTAATTAGCCTTAATTTGGTTCCCTGCTGTACACTTCAAAAGTTAAGTTGTGATATCTTTTAGAATGTAAGCTCTTAAGAGCAGGGCTCTTCTAACCTTATTGTAAAGTGCTGTGTGAAATGTAGCAACAAAAATACAGTTGATTCGGTATTTATCAGCTTTAACAGCTCCAAATCTGAATTTCAGGGACACTTGAATTCAGCTGCTGGATAGGTAGAGTTTTTAACATGTCAACCTGGGTCATTGTTTTTTTAATTTCACCAGTTGCAATCTGAGGAACACCAATCAAATTGTAAATAAAGTCAAATAGTTTTCATATTAAATGTATTACACACACGGGAAAAAAAAACTATTTGCATATGTGGGAGCCCTAATAGCACATAAAAATTACACACACAAATGGTCTAAGGACCAGTTCCCAAACCAGGATTGCGGCAACGCATTTCCGGAAGAACATTCGCATGCACCCAGAGACATAAGGACAAAGTATAGTTCCTTGGCCAAAAGTAAACACACAGCAGCTGGAGACAGCTGACTTGCCAAACTCAAAAACGCAGGAACACCAAACACAGAAGGGGAAAAGTAACGGGGGTGGAGGAAGGAAGACAAAATCAGGCAAGGCAAATGAAACAAAGGTCATTTGCTTGTGCGAAAGGCACACTACAAAAGCTGGAGGCAGCTGAAAATGAGCAAACTTAAACACACACAAAAGAGACAGTATGTGCAAATTAAATAGGGAAGAGGAAAATTTTGTTAAGGTAAGAGAGTTGTGGTTAAAGCTATAGTTTGTTCTAATATAACGTCGAGAGACATCTGTTAGGTAACAACATTGCTGCCGTACCAAAATGCTAAAGAGGAACATGAAGACAGGAAATAACACCTGGGTATGATGATGAGCTCCAAACGCAGAGAATGAATAATTGCCATATATCCGCCATTTATAATTTAATTGGCGTACATGCATGCTCAATTGCGTGTATTTGTTAGCGCCAAGTACCACTTCTGCCTCACTTCTTGCAAACATGGTGCTGATGGAGGAGGCGCTGCTGGTGGGGCTGGCTATGTTTGCCAGAGCCTTCTGCAAAGCAGAAATGAGGCAAGCAACCAAGCTGCTGCTCCTATGGCCCGCCTTCGCTAGCAATGGATACATGCACCACATCCATACTTGAAAACATGCAGGACTCTGAAGTCAGCTTAGAGCAAGAAGCAATTATGCACCTATATGAGCTTATCCCTACCCCTAAGGAGCTTACAATCTAAGGTCCCTACCTGACATCCACACTAGGGCCAATTAACCTACCAGAATGTCTTTGGAGGGGGAAGGGAGGGAACCCACACAGGCACAGAGAGAACATGCAAACAACAGGCAGGTGGTGCAATGGTTGGGATTTGAACCAATTACCCTAGTGTTGCTAGGCAGAAGTGCTAACCACTAAGCCACTATGCAGCCCATAATGTTAACTAGAATATATATAGTAGTACCATGATTCAAGAAGATATAGAATTATATGTAAATATAAGAAAGTTCGAATTATTTGTCATAACATATAACACTGTAATTTTTAAATAACATTAGAAAACAGTTTGCAGTCATTGAAAAATGCATTTGTTTGCATAACATGTAAAAAAAACCACTACAAAACAGGAAAGAATAATAGAATTAGCATCAAAAGAAGCCAAACAAATCACACCTGCCAATTTTTCTTTTTACACACAAATGGGATCGTGGCTAAATCCTGTACTCTTGTGCCCTCTAGGAACCACATTTAGCATTGCCTATTATGTAAACTCGATTATGCCGATATGACATTCGCAATTCAATTCGACATTCCATAGTCGCTTGCAACTTAACATGCCGGTATTCAGGGGGTTAAACCATGCAGCTTGGTAATGGTACACTACATACGATAAAGGTACATGTCTTACACATGAAGAGGTGGAGAAGGAGTTAAAATACAGGTCACCACAGAGACATGAATATGAAATGGGGGCTGTGAAAGAGTTAGAATTGTCCACAACTTTGAATATCTTCAGTAGCTGCTGCTTGTGATCAAGGGGATTACTATGGAGGCACTTGGTGGAGGAATTAGGAGGGCCGGCAGAGAACCCGAGATGAGGAGGATTGGTGCTGCTCTGTGCAAAACCATTGCACAAAGCGGGTAAGTATAAAATGTTTATTTAAAAAAAAAAAAAAAATGTAGATTTAGAAACACTTTAATATGATAAATTAAAAAGCATTGAGTAAAACTTGTCTCACCAAAAGGTCTTTTTTTTTTTTGCTTATTGTCCATTGGATTAATATTTGTTTATATTGTCTTACACCTTAAATCACAAAAACCATACACAACACCCATGTGCATTTTTTTTTTTTTTTTTTTTTTTTTTTTAACTTGTGCATGCATGTTTTGCAAACCACCATATTGGTAGATATTACCACCATTATACTATTCTGCCGAGCACTGCCTTAGGCTTTCTACATGCACATAAAATCACTTCAATGCATTACCTGGCAATGGTCGCTCCGTTTCAGCTAAACTGAAGATCTCATGAAAACTGCTCTTTTTTGTACTATGATATCGCCCTCCCTCTTCATCACGATTTACTCCCTGTGGAGCTCCTGTGGATACATTACTTCTTGAAGAGACTGTTTGTATCTGAAAGGAAGCACACAATATTTATCTTTGTTTTATACTTTTATTTAAACACAACTTGAAAATTATTACAAAGCAGCAGGTTTGAGTGCCGATTAACAAAACCAAGGCTTCAGATATAGAGCTGATAAAAGAATTCTGTAACTGGAGACTGCTCAAATATGGTGAAGGTTTGTAAATATACCTTCACTTACAGCAGAGATACCCCCACCCAGAGTGCAGGATCACCTCCACCAGAGTGAATCAGATGAATCACCAGCTAAATTTCTTTTCGTGTAATACAAATCATTAGATGTCTTCATGATCAGAAGCAGTTTTGTAAAGCCCGGAACGATGTATGGCCATGCATTAATTATCTGGTACCCAAACATTTGTTTTCTACAAGCAAATATTAGAAAATCTGAAAGTAAGATAGGTACCTAAGACTGTAAGCTCTTTGAGGGCAGGGAGCGGATTGTACAGTATGCAGGAAGCAGCATAAAACTTTTAACACTACATAAATGCCTATTTAATACATTTGCTGCAGACTTACTATTGATGTAGCATCTATATCATCTGGGCATAACATTTTTCTTACCCTTTGATTTATCCAAAGAAAATTGTGTAATTAAATCAAAACTAGGAAGATTTTTTTTTAACTGTAATCTAAGCCAAGATTCACGAGTATTCTGGTCATCTTTTAAAGAAAACTATAGTACACACAGACATAAAGCATAACCCCATGGACCTGTGTGTGGTTACCTCTTAATCTCATTATGTCACAACTATGCAAGCTACGACTGAATATGGAAATATGTGTTGCCGCATGTTGCTCTGCATTTACATCCATCATGTTCCATTTTCAACCAGTGAAAATCAACACAGTACATTAGTGTGAACTGGACCTATTGGAAACAAAGTATTTAGCTGGTCATTGCACTGACCAATGCAGCTCAAGGATTTTTGTGATTGTCTGTTAGAGACTTAAAGTGGAACTAAAGTTCTACTGTTGTTCACCGTGAGCAGGCAGTTTTTTTTTCGTTTTTTTATTATTGCAGATGTGACAAGTAATGTCTCTTCTGCAATAAAATTCACCTACCTGCCTGAGTGTCTGTTCTCAGCGTTTCCAGGCATGTAATCTGAGCTGTGCATGCACAGCTCAGCTTACAGCGGTTGGCCAATCCCTATGTGTCGGAAAGATAGCCCCCCTACACATGAATGACAACATCCTGAGAAAAGGCTGGTGTGGGACAGACAGACAAGACCGCTGGATGAAAGCTGAGTATAGCTGCCTTTAGTTCTGCTTTAAAGTGGTTGTAAACCCTAAATATTTCTAACTTTAATGCACTCACCCGAGCCAGATCTTGATCCAGCACTGTGCCCATGTGCAATGACTTTCTTCCCTTCTCCCTGCTCTCACAGGCTTTGCTGAGAGCAGCAGGAGCCATTGGTTTCAGCTGCGGTCAGTCAAATCCTATGACAAGGGAGCGGGGGCGGGCCGAATCTCACTGTCTGCGTCTACAGACGCAGCAGTAAGGCTCGAGATCAAGCCTGCAGGTGTGACACCCAAGGAAGCATCTTCCTATGGTGGCACATCCAGAAGAAGAGGAGTCAGAAGAGCCAGGGGGGACCCCAGAAGAGGAAGATCGGAGCTGCAACACCATTGCACAGAGCAGGTAAGCATATATATATATATTTTGTTTCGTTTTACAAAACACAAACAAGGACTTTAAAAACATTTTAACTCTTGTGCTTTATATGTTAAACAGTAAACCTTTCATATACATAGCATGGTGCCCAACAACTTTTAATGATACTAACAGGAATCTATTTTTAATCTAAATATCATTATATATTCTCATTTTGTGGTAGTGAAGCTAAACCTATACAACTTTAGTGCGAGTTAAGTTATTGCCCTAACCTTGTATGATATTCAAGCACCAGAATGTGTTCACCTTAAAGCCCTTAAACCACAAGTAGACCTGTATATCGCTCCGATGAACATATGGTCACAAACATTACAGAGCTCACCAAGAGCTTTGAACCCCAGGAACCAATATTATGTGAACAATTGTTTTAGTTCTTGAAACCTGACTATGCAATCCACACCTAAGTAGGAGTCCATTCTTATGATAACAAGGAACAGCATCAGAGGTGAAAGAACTTTTAGGAACCTGCTATAGCTGCCTATGTTTGGTTTAGAATATTTAACCTGGACATGGGTTAATTTTGAAGAGGTCCTCAGGAAAAGGCAATCTGTTCAGTAATTCCCAGCCTTCTGCTCTTAAACATCACAGGACAGTCAAATCAGTTAGAAGTGTAAGCCCAGACCAGCTCAGACAGACTGGCATCAATCAGCATAGACAGACTGGTTAATAAGAGAGTAATGATGTAGATACCCAATTTAGTTCACCGAGTATCTATGCTAGCATCTACCCTAACAAGCGATGTTTGTGTGGCGATCTCCCCTGCTGAGCTATTGTGTTGACGGGGACTGCCCCCCCACCAGAACACACTGATCAGCACTGACAGCCATTGGCTGCAAGAACTGACTGGATGCTGGATTTCCAACATGCCCGTTCAATAAAAGATAGCTATTAGACTAGTTTCTGTTGGAAAGGCTGCTGTGCATACAGGCCGAATGTCAGCTGCTTCAGCCTGTGTGTAGCAGCCTTAAGGCCCCATTCACACCTGAGAGTTTAGGAAACACACGCAAAATGGCAAGCAGAAAAGTGTAACAAAATGCACACGGAAAAAGAAAAAGAAATGCAAAGCTCACATGCAAAAATCTACGTGAGCTACGTTGGAAGTGCTTGTCGCGAGTATTGCAGCCCATTCAAAATTCCAAAATCAAAAATAAATCTTTGTGATTAGATTAAGTAATACATAAAAAGCAGCTGGCACAGGAATAGATACAATCCCTCAACGTAATAAATAATAAAAAAGTGCAGCACTATATATTAAGAACATAAGAAAGTCCATGCTAAATAGTGTTAAAGTCCATCAAATGAATGAAAATCTGTGCTCAAAAATTTCTTTGAATGAGTGAAACCCACCGTTGAATTGTATATAAGAGCATGGTGACTGATGCTTACCGTCAAATGATGATGAAATGTGTTGGGTGGCGCTTCACGTGACGTTACCACGCTATATAGCCCCCGGCTGGAACGTCCATACGCCAGGATTGCTGCAGCTCAGGGATTGTTTCTTTGACGCTATGCAAATTTTTAAACTATTTTGAGTGCATTTGTTTACTTTTAATAAAAGTTTAAAGTTTTGGGCATATTACACTATTAGTGCTTATTCTTTGCATGATTTACTGGTGGAAACATGGAGTTGGAACGGAGTCAAGGGGAGAACCATCTCTCTGCGCCATAAACTGGAGAATCGTGCAGGGTTAACCTCTAAAGCACTGTCGGTTTTTTTTTATATAAAAGCTCAATAGCTCTGGTAAGAGCTCTTGCATGTCCATGGTTTTCACCAGGATCTTTGAGGTGTCATCTTCCTCCTTTCTTGACTCATTGAATGTGGGTTTTTTCCATTGCTGTTGATGGTTGGGTTTCGCTCACGGATTTTCATGTATTTTATGGACTTTTAACACTATTTAGCATGGACTTTATGTTCTTAACAATATATAGCACTGATCTTTTCTGTTATTGCGTGCAGCCCATTGAAATGAACAGGCTGCCCTATGCGCATAGCACAAAATCACACATACACACAATGCCCTGTGTCGCACAACATAGTATAAATGGGACCTTAGAGATGAAAATTATATGAGCTGCCACAATATGAGTACATTTAACTACAGTTAAATTACAGCTGAAAATCGCTTAAAGTGCATCTGCAGCAAAAACATGATTTTTTTAGTTTTGGAAACCATGGCAAAGGATAAGAACTTCTGACAAGGTTTTACTGCTGTCTGGGGCTCAGTGGCAGAAACTTCCCCTCACTTGTCAAAGGAATAAGGAAACTCTTCAACAGCAACACAAACAGTAGTAAAAATGTGTTTTTTCCCTATAAAAGAATTATGAATTTGCAGTGGTTCACTTCTGGGTGAATGAGGTGGGAGTACAGAGAGTAGTGAGATTACTCCTTTGGGCCCTGTGACTAATATGTTAATAAATATCTAGTTGATTCTGTTGAGTCTAAGCTGTTTGTTCAGACATGACATAATTGCAAAGGAGCTGAAAGCCAACCCAAGCAGTGCTTTAAATGTTCAATTAAGTAGAGATGACCTAAGTGTTCAGCATTCGCTGTTCACACATTCATTCACTGTGGACGATCCTGACAGATTTGTCCTGCCAATGGTTGCTAAGGAAGCACGCACCTCCTCTCCACTCCTTTCCTAACCTGCATGTTCGGATAAGGGTTTGGTATGAATTTTTGAGTTTTTTTTTGAGTTGGGGTTTCCATACCACACCCTCATTTAGGATAAGAATCTGGTATAGATGAAGAGAATCCTCAGCTGTCCAGTTAAATAGCTGAAGTCATTTTTTTAACAATTTAAATAAATTTTATTTGTAAAATGTCAGTGCATCAATGTGCATTTATTATTATTTTCACAGAAGCCTGTAGAGCATTGTACCCATGATCAGTGGATCGTGGGTGCAATGTCAGGCTCCTGCAAACGCAGTCTGCACCTCTGTTGCCCATACCTGTGTACGGGCTGTTACAGAATTGTATGCAGTGTGAATGGACTACTATTGTGCTGATCAGCACACTTGCAGTCCATTGAGAACTACATGCTTCCCACCTGGCCATTGTACAAAAATGGCCGGTCGGGACCAGTGCCGTTCTGACAGGATATACCGGTACGTCCTGTCAGAACCTGGGGTTGTGCAGCAGCGCAATCACTTGAGGAAATGGGCTCTGTGACTGGGCCTCCCAAACGTGATGGCTGTGTCCAATCACAGCCCTCACATCATGTAAACAGGGGCACATGCCTCTGTGTTGAATCTCCTCCTGAGCTCAGTGAGGAGGGGGAAATGCTGCTGCCCATCAGCTGTGTAACTGTGTGTAGC